AATAAAAAACGGCCTCGATCTGGTAATAACTAAGTTTGATCAAAGGGTAAGTTGCTCCTAGATATTTAGGCTTTGTTGGTTCTGATAAGTATGCCATAGTCATATATCCATGTCCTGAGTCCCCAACGACACAGGATTGATTGAAAACCGAAACTGTCCTGCTGTTAGCAATGGCAGCGTTCGGTGAATCCGCTTTTTGTCCATGGTTTAATGATTAGGCCCAGCTTATACGGATCTGCCATATGTACCACGTACGAAATCCGTTTTAACAGCACAGATAACAAATTTGACTTCATCTTTCAAGGTTGGGTCATATTTAAAATCGAATACCTATAAACAAAACCTTTTGGCTGAATCACCTTTCCGAAAAACGTGCGTACCGATTTCGACTATCTTTCATAACGCATTCTTAAGTATAAACCTCGACTCATCCATTCAACCAAATTTGAGAATCCTAGACTCAAGTTTCACTCTGATCAGCTGTGCGTATCCACCGCTTCGACTGGGCTTTGAAATCAAGACCCATAGCATGAATGGCGTGTTACCACTTTGTTGACTCATCTCAGAGCTGACTAGCATTACTCGTTCAGTTTTGTTAATATCATCTTCAATGATATGGAATCATTTCCTTGGATCCAAACCACTTTTCACAAGTAACTGCAAGTTAAATGTGAAGCATCCTCTTCACCTGTTCCGTACTGCATGCTCCGTAGAAATGAGTGCGGATAACAAATGCATACAATATACATACTACTCATGAGTACGCAAAGTGCGAATCCACAAAATGTCCCACTGTTAATACCGGCTTTGGCAGGACCAAATTTGGTTTGAGAGGGAACAAGTATCGTTTGTTCAGTGATATTAAAATTACAGGAAATTTAATAGAAATAGGCACGATAATAGTAAACATAGATTTTAGTGTTCATTTTACATGAAATGCCGTTTGATTCATTCGAATTTGCTTCTGTTTCATTTCCATTGGTTGTGTTGTGAACTGATTCGGTCAATAGGTAGAATTCCTTGTGTAGCAGAGGAGGCTTTGAACTATTGTTGTTTCTTAGCGAAATTGCTTTCTGCGTAAAAATGAGGTTTTTTTGGGAATAACAGACATGAGGGAATAGTCACGAACATCTGAGTCTTACTGAGCACGATCTTTCCCTACTGGAGCTCTCTCACTGAGAGACCAACACCAGCAAGATTGAATGCCGCAGCCTCAGGGTCCCCAGAACGGCGTAAGTGAAATTTCACAGATTGTTTCAATGAGGAATTCAGTCCATTAATAGAGCTGTGGTCTTGAATACGTGTATCTTGGATGGCTAGAGTCTCACGGGTACGAGCTAAACGCGTCTGTTGTCTTATACACACCAGAGTGAGCTCGTTCAATGTGGCTAGTTTGAACTCTCATTGAGGACGAAGAAAGGTTCCAGCTGATGGAGGAATCGGTGGGACTCGAGCGGTAGTCTAGGAAGGACACAATAGAACAGCAGTAGAATTTCCATCCGAGGCGTTACTTTTAGTAAATTCGTCTAAATAACCCGATAGAAGTGGAAGTATCTCAAGGAAATGTAGGTAAAATGAGGGGAGGTTGGAGAAACACGAGGGCGTGTTCGGTGTAATATTTTACAGTATTAGATGAATGTTCTGATTGCGAGTCCCCTGAAAGAAAGTTCACAGTTGTATATGTTGTGGGCTACTGCTCCAGGTTACTCAATCCAGAGTAGGCCTTGTTCTAAAGTGCAATCTAACCTTTGCACTACCAAGCAAGAACTCCAAGGCAGTAGCAATGTTCCAGATGAGCCCATGATTCATTCTCCCGTTCTGGAGAACCTTGTCGGGTAGATGAATCTTGACCAGGTTAATGGTCATATTTAGTGGCTGATCACTCGCCACGTCACAGCGCTGTCCATAGATGTCTGGTGAACCTTTGCTAGGACGTAAACCCACTACGTCCTTCAGCATTGCCCTGGATCATCCGCGATCGCCCATTCGGTGAGCCTATGCTCACCTTATTCATGATGAGCTATGAACTGACGCCTATCATCGTTATCGTACAGCTAGCTACAGTGAAGGGAACTTCACTGACGTCCGCTCTCCTATCTTCTTCCTCGGGACTCGCTCGGTAGCGTACATCTCTACCCATCTCGTATCATGCTGTGGGATCTCGTTGATTATGAATTGGAAAGAAATGATTCTGTCAAGCTCGGAAGGGAAAATACAAGAAGCGGCTTTTTTCTAAAATCGTCTAAATTGTTCCTCGGAGTTTATGTAGCATAATTTAACCTGTGGTTGTAGTTTTGTACGATACAATGCGTTTCAAAGTATTTCCGCTTCCCTAACCCAAACAAACCTGGCCCAAATGACGGATTTCCTCTGTATACCAAATGTCATTACTGAACAATGTATGTTATTTGCTGATCAGTACGGAAATTGCGAAAGAACGGGGTTGACAGAAAAACTTAGTATTACATTTCGGTGCATAGATTTATCGAGGTCCTTGAGGGGAATTACCGTTCCTCACAGTTCCACATAGTTAATAGAAGCCGAGCCGAGCGGGTACTATAATTATATGATACCTCTTTTTGGGTGACATTTTATTTTCTTATTAGCAGATTGGTATGCATGTATTACCGTGCATTCGGTAATTCTATCCAGAAGTAGTTTCTTTATGGCATACAGAAGCGGAAAAATCGGAATATGTATACTTTGCTCGTGCCATGTATTTCACAAATATCGGTTCTCCTAGCTCAGCTTGGTTAGTTTTATTTGGTGATCCCGAGTTTGAGAAAATATTTGCAGGTAAATGTTCGTATTTCCTGTGAGTAAACATTATGTTCCATTGAGCCTTCAGCTCTTGAGCTCGTCATACTGTTTCTAACTTCATTTCACCACGTTATTTGGGAGATTTTACATATAACACCATCTCTTACACAGGAATGTTTCAGGTTCCCTGAGATTTATCTTTCTTTACTTTTATCTCAATCCTGTTTGGGATTGAACCCCTAGCTTCCACACAAATTGGTGAGTTTTCTTAGATGAAGGTTCTCGGGAATCAGAAGTAATCCGGAGGATAATGTTTGCTGTTCATTTAGATAGAATTTGGTTTCTATCCTTATCCGGTGGCGTGCGTATCACATATGTTCCATCCATTATATTTCACAGATCGCGTGCCCGGGATTGCTCGGTAATCACGTATCCTTTATCACTTCACCTGCATTTGCCGTGATTGAACAGACGAATATCGCTGCAGATGTCCGAACATATTCTCGAACGGTTGCTACAGTGAATAACGCAATACTATCTCGAATGTCCTCAGGATATAAGAAATCCAGCTTCATCATTTATAAAAAATCTTTTGACAACAGAACAGTTTACCTGAGTCCCGAGTTTCGTGAATTTATTCATGCAAACCTGATTCAGTAGCGTCTTTTTGCTTCTGGTGCACAGAACTTTCTAACTCAATCAATCAGATTATGACGGAGCTGATTGTGGACCCGAATTTCCTTTTCGACTGTATCCTTTAACCCTCTGTTTCTTCTGCATTAATTGTCCTACGTTGTATCAAATGAGGAGACCAAATTAAATCTTAGCACTCCTCGCTATTCCTCTTCTCTCTGTTATAACTTTGTCTAACCTGCACATTGCTTGTCTGATGGTTGTACTAGACGAATGGATTGCACGGTAACAACGCAACATGATAGAAAAATGGCTATTGTGTTACTTCTTTTCATCACGTACAACAAAAGAGTACGGTAGTGTAGGGGATGAGTAGGTATGCACAAAATATGCTCAAGCCACAGAGACAGTGTATAGCAATTACCACAGTCAGACTACAACTATCAGCACCCAGCGCACGAGGATGAACCTCGTCATTGCTCAACCCGTGCTTCTATCATACATGAGCCATGCTTCGAAGACATCGATGGTTGGATACAGAAATGGGTCAATGTTCTCAGCATGCGTAGACCAGGTCTTGCAACCGTTGAGCAAAACTCTGAGAATCACCGCAGCGATGTATACTCTTTCTCTTAGAGTCGGATGTCATGACAGCACCGCAGTTGTTGCATCGTGACGAAACTGCTCTAGCTTTGCTATTTGTCATGTGATCTCTTCCCCAACGCCACTTCTAGCTGGTATCAAGCTCCCTAGGTTTCAAAAGCTTTCGGTAAATTTTAGGTGATCACCACAGCGGGTAAATGTAGGCACGGGCTCCTGCCAATCTTGTTCAAGCACTGCATTTGTGCAGCGAAGGGCGTACGCCATACCTGGATAATTATGCAAATAGATTCAAAGCTTGCTGGACTGCCTATTTATTGCGGATACCAGCCACAGAGAATAGGTCTGTGGAAACAAACCAGGGGCGTGTCTGAATAGATACGAGAAGCTAGCATAGAAGGTCATTTTAGATGTTCCATTCAGTGTTGGTTGTGTATAGGTGAGCCATCAGTTCCACAAGTCTTTTCCCCACACCTAATTCTTTTGTCTTGGTGACCTGGATGATATTGAATAGCTTGAGAGAATCTCTCAAGGTAGCAACGCATTCCATCTCCGATGCGTGCTTAACTTATTAGGTTTCACGATCCTTGTGTAGGTTTGCGTTGGGTTCCCATCTCTTTACGGAACTTGTTTATTTATGCACGTTGTTCGCTTGGATTAAGCGACTGGTTTCAAGAACAGAGTCGGCGGGCGTCACGACGTGTCAACCATAGTAATATGGAGCGTTGCCAATAAGCGACCACCGTTGATTGGTATTTCGGGCAGGATTAGTTCTAGCTTTTCAATTAGCAAGTTTAAAATGGTGGGTAAGCTTTTTGGGATAACTTGTCGCGGTATAATTGCCACATTATCGTACGTTTGCAACCCTCAACAAAGCCTACAGACAGCTCATGATGATTAAATGCAATTATGGATATATCAGGTTATAAAAACGAATTTTAGTATAGAATATCCTCGGGCTGTATTATTTTTGGTTCTCTTTGTCGACAGTATTTTACGGGGTTGCAATGAGTATTGCCGTACGTGCATTTGTGGTGGGCTATACCGGTGAGACGGGCAAGGCTCTTGTCAAAGCGCTCGCAAGAGACCCTCGGTACACCTCTGTGAAACTGATAGGACGACGTCAAGTGGAACTGGATTTCGGAATTCCTGCCGACAAGATTGTCGGAAAATTCTCTCAACATGTGATCGATTTCGATCATTTGGAGGAACATCAACTGCTTTTTGAGGACACAGATGTGGGATTTTCTGCCCTTGGCACAACGATTGCAAAATCCGGTGCAGAACTGATGCGCAAAATTGACCATGACTACGTCTTGCAGGTAGCTGAGTTGGCTGTCGCATGTGGTTGCAAAGAATTGCATGTAGTCTCTTCTATGGTAAGTAGTTGACCCTTACCACGATGATTGGATTAAACTATGCGCAAACATATCTTCTGCAGGAGATGCACTTCTTTTTAATTTTGCAGAGTAAATCATGTTGGAGTTCCGACAATTACCCGATCTGCGTGGACAAAACCTTGAGGTCCTCCTCGTCTCTCTCCTCATTGCTAAATAATGTAATGTTAAGTGGTTTGGATGCTGATGATTAAACGGTTCAAGTCTTGATCCATAGTATCCGAGATTCGAACCCCGCCACCAATACTCAACTTGCTGCTAGGCAGCTTCACTGTCATTCGGCTCAATATCACATCTAATCTAGCGGCGCATTATATGATTCGATACTTCAAGTCCCGCATATTGGGTGTTCGGTTACTATGATTGAACCGTGGGTCCTTGTAACTGCGGTTTTCCCTGTCTTCTGCATATCACACGCGGGTGTGATAAAAACAAGCAATATCGGCAAATTTGATGGGTGTTCCGCTCTGTTCATCATGAATGATCTCTAAGAACTTTGTTCATGCAAATTTATTCCAGTAATCCCTTTTTGATTTTTCACATAAAGCGTTATCTGTCGACGATCAAAGAGGTCTGTCTTTAAGCTAAATTTAATTCCCGTTTTGTTTTATAATTCTCACTCAGAAACTCATCTGCGCACAATACTAAAGACTCATCAAACCGATAAGCGATTGGAGATAGCTTTTATTACCGGACAACAACGCCCACACTAAAACATTTGGAGTTTATTTGCTGCTTTTAGATTGATATTCGTGCTCTGTGCTCCTCACCTCAGTGCGGTAGATGTGTTGAGATTTTCCCAGTGGACCATGAGGATACAGACCGTGGTCTACAATATCGATATCAGTGCCTCATTCTGATACCAGCACAACAGCATACGCAACTGATTAGAGACCCGGAATAGCCGTCTAAGAGTGGGCGTTCTTACTTTTACTTTCTTACTGTTGATCGCTAACTCCTGCAGAAGGATAAGTCGGCTTCCTGGATGTCTCTAACGATGACTGCCCATGCATGATGATCGGTAGCAAGGTTGACGCAATGAGAAACCTTGTTTTGGGTTCAGTTACGAAT